CGCTAATGAGAGAGATTACGCGTAGAAATGAGCACTGTGGAGGAAAGGGTCATCTGATTATTATTATTATTTATAAAGTGCCAACAAACTCTGCAGCGCTGTACAATGGGATCAAAATGGCACATTTTGACTAAGTAGCTTATTTAGAAGAATTCTCCAACTCAGCTACAGTTACAGTTCAGCTGTTTTCGCCTAAACTTTGCAACTTTGTTTTCAATTAACTAAAATTGAGAGTTTAGTAATTAAACCCCTGAAAGAATGTAGTTGCATTCACGAAATGGAGGCAAATGGATCTTTGCCTATGGCGGCAGGAATCCTTACACCGGTGCTGGCTAGGAGCATTCCGTGGCTCTATTGGCTGATGGGCAATTGCCCTTTGTACATAGCTTAAAAATCTGCCAGTTGACCCCCTTCACATTGGCACATGTTAATGTAAAGCATAGAAAAAATTGAAGCTCTGGGTTTTGAAAGATTTAGAAGGCAGATAATTCAGGGACCCTTTCTGCATTTAATGGGTGAAACCTGACCATTCAGTTTCTATTAAACTTTGGAGCAGCAAGTGTCCCAGTGAGTGACGGGTTACTGGCAGCTGTATTTCATTACAGTACATTACATATCTATTGACTGATATATAGTAAATCATTATATTATAATCATATTTCTTGGTAATGGCATACTGAAGGGTTTGATTGTTTTTTATAACTCAAAATTCTAATAATCCAATAATTAAAAATTCCCCTAAAATTCAAAATAAATTTCTTACTTCCGCCTTTATGAACACAAAGGGCTTAAAGACTCCAAATAAATGAGAAAGGCCAGAAGGTTCCACTTGACTGATTTTTCTTCCTACTCATATCGACTGAGTGACTGGGTTCTGCCCACATTTAACCTGGTTGAACCTGACCTGCAAGTGTTTTTGCTACTTAGCTTTGTCTTCAAATTCTGTGATTTACCAACTAGACTGCTGTCAAACTGTAAGGAGACAACTGGATTCCTCTTCTAAACTTTGCAGTTTATTCACCACCACAATGTGTTGTTGCATTTCAGTAACTAAAACACAAGTATTGTCTTAAGGGCAAAAAAAACTTGATATATATTATTTGTTGCACAATGAGTTCCACAATGACATGGCGCGTGAATCACTCTTTCAGCAGAGCTGGAAACAACTAATATAGAGTAAAAATATCTTCACGATAAACCTATTAATAAAGATTACAGGAAGATTGTGAAATTATTGTAAATAGGGAATGTTTATCTTACGTATCACTCACAGTGAGTCATAGCTAATACTTTTTTGGTTTTTTTTTTAATAGAAAATACTCAAATAAAAATTAGAATTTTATGGCAAATCAGGAGGCTTCATATTTTCTTGAAGGGACATTATAGTCACCCAGACCACTTCAGCACAATGAAGTGGTCTGGATTCCAGGTCCCCCAGGTTTTAACCCTTCAGATGTAAACACAGCAGTTATGTTTACATAGCAGGGTTAATCCAACCTCTAGTGGCTGTCATCCTGACAGCTGCTAGAGGCACTTCTGCGATGCAGTATGCGAAATTCGCATCCAGCGTGCAGAACGTCCATAGGAAAGCTTGAGAAATGCTTTCATATGGACTGTTTGAATGCGCGCGCAGCTCTTGCTGCGCATGTGCATTCCGCTCCACTCTGGAGCTGACGTCAGCGGGGGAGGACAGGTCACCAGCGCCGAGGGAGCCCGGCGCTGGATAAAGATAAGTAGCTGAAGGGGTTTTAACCCCTTCAGCGCCAAGGGAGGGGGACCCTGAGGGTGGAGGGAACCTTAGGATGCTATAGTGTCAGGAAAACAAGTTTGTTTTCCTGACACTATAGTGATCCTTAAACCTTTTTTTACTGTGAACCTCCCAGCAGCAAAGAAACAGTTAAAAGTGTAAATAAAAATTAACCAATCAGAATGCATATATCAGTAACGTAGGGTTGTGAGACTCCTCCCACTTCCTCTTTCTTTGCTGCTCGCCTGCCAGGTGAGTGTATTCTAATTATATTGCCTTTAGGTTTTATTTAAAATACCTTTTAACTTATTATAGCTTCCTTGTAATATATAGATTTTTATTTGTTACACATTTTTTTTATTTCTATTCCTTGCCTTAAAATTGTCTTCCCTTTGCTACCCTTTAGCTCTCGCCTTGTCGGCCTTTCCATTTTTCCCGACGTTTTTATCACCTCACACAGTGGGTCTTCTTCTAAGGTGAGTTTCCTCTAATAAATCTTCATCCTTCTGACCTCAGTTATACATACTGTTTCACACAACCTTTTTAAGTTAAGTCCCTCTACTTTTTCTCAACCCATATAGTTCTCTAAGTTTTTACCTAATACCCCCCATTTTTTTCTTTTCTCTTTCAGATATATATCAATACCTTTGCCTTTTACACTAGTTTCCCAAGGGTGACCCTCTTTTGATCTGTTCACATGTTTATCCCTACAGGGAGTGCAGAATTATTAGGCAAGTTGTATTTTTGAGGATTAATTTTATTATTGAACAACAACCATGTTCTCAATGAACCCAAAAAACTCATTAATATCAAAGCTGAATATTTTTGGAAGTAGTTTTTAGTTTGTTTTTAGTTATAGCTATGTTAGGGGGATATCTGTGTGTGCAGGTGACTATTACTGTGCATAATTATTAGGCAACTTAACAAAAAACAAATATATACCCATTTAAATTATTTATTATTACCAGTGAAACCAATATAACATCTCAATATTCACAAATATACATTTCTGACATTCAAAAACAAAACAAAAACAAATCAGTGACCAATATAGCCACCTTTCTTTGCAAGGACACTCAAAAGCCTGCCATCCATGGATTCTGTCAGTGTTTTGATCTGTTCACCATCAACATTGCGTGCAGCAGCAACCACAGCCTCCCAGACACTGTTCAGAGAGGTGTACTGTTTTCCCTCCTTGTAAATCTCACATTTGATGATGGACCACAGGTTCTCAATGGGGTTCAGATCAGGTGAACAAGGAGGCCATGTCATTAGATTTTCTTCTTTTATACCCTTTCTTGCCAGCCACGCTGTGGAGTACTTGGACGCGTGTGATGGAGCATTGTCCTGCATGAAAATCATGTTTTTCTTGAAGGATGCAGACTTCTTCCTGTACCACTGCTTGAAGAAGGTGTCTTCCAGGAACTGGCAGTAGGACTGGGAGTTGAGCTTGACTCCATCCTCAACCCGAAAAGGCCCCACAAGCTCATCTTTGATGATACCAGCCCAAACCAGTACTCCACCTCCACCTTGCTGGCGTCTGAGTCGGACTGGAGCTCTCTGCCCTTTACCAATCCAGCCACGGGCCCATCCATCTGGCCCATCAAGACTCACTCTCATTTCATCAGTCCATAAAACCTTAGAAAAATCAGTCTTGAGATATTTCTTGGCCCAGTCTTGACGTTTCAGCTTGTGTGTCTTGTTCAGTGGTGGTCGTCTTTCAGCCTTTCTTACCTTGGCCATGTCTCTGAGTATTGCACACCTTGTGCTTTTGGGCACTCCAGTGATGTTGCAGCTCTGAAATATGGCCAAACTGGTGGCAAGTGGCATCGTGGCAGCTGCACGCTTGACTTTTCTCAGTTCATGGGCAGTTATTTTGCGCCTTGGTTTTTCCACACGCTTCTTGCGACCCTGTTGACTATTTTGAATGAAACGCTTGATTGTTCGATGATCACGCTTCAGAAGCTTTGCAATTTTAAGAGTGCTGCATCCCTCTGCAAGATATCTCACTATTTTTGACTTTTCTGAGCCTGTCAAGTCCTTCTTTTGACCCATTTTGCCAAAGGAAAGGAAGTTGCCTAATAATTATGCACACCTGATATAGGGTGTTGATGTCATTAGACCACACCCCTTCTCATTACAGAGATGCACATCACCTAATATGCTTAATTGGTAGTAGGCTTTCGAGCCTATACAGCTTGGAGTAAGACAACATGCATAAAGAGGATGATGTGGTCAAAATACTCATTTGCCTAATAATTCTGCACTCCCTGTATAATTCCCTGTGGTGCTTTACAAATCATTTGTCTGCATCAGCTTATTGTGGGTGATCCTCACTTCATTGTTTTTACCTCTGCATTGTAGGTGACCCTTATTTTTGTCTGCATTCTTTAACTTTTGTGACTGACCCCATTTTTTTGTATACCTGTCTGCATTATGGGTAACCCCCAACTGCTACTGGATGACCCCTAGTTGTATTGGGTGACCCCCAACGTTTGTGTGTATGTAAATATATATATTTATTTATATGTTCTTAATAGGGTGCATATTGTTATTTTTCATTAATACGTTTATTTTACTTTGGCTATTACCCCATTCCCACCTTAATATGTCTGAGCAACCAGACCCCTCTGTCACTACCGCGCTTAAAGCCTGGCTTTTCTGTGCTATTGCAGAATCCATCCATAAAGCTGGCTGCCTTCCAAGAGTACCTATTGCAGGCCATCTAATCTCTCCTCCAAAACTCATCAGCAGTATCTTCCTAGTTAGGAAAAAAATCCAGGGAATTTCATCTTGTCATTACCTTAAGAAACCTAAACTTTTCCGTCATATATCGACATTTCAAGATGGAGGGCATCCATTTTTTACGTGATCTTCTCTGGGAGGGAGATTGGTTCTCTCGCTTCGGCCTCAAGGACACTTACCTCACGGTTCCAATGGCCCACTCCTATCGGTGTTACCTACAATTCCTTTGACATCACAACATCTGGCAATTCACCTGCCTCCCTTTCATTCTCTCGTCTGAAACCTTGGTGCTTCACCAAACTGATGAAGCCAGCTATGACTCTTGTTCTCAAGGCATCAGGTCCATCATATACCTCAACAACATCCTAATGATGGCTCAGGTCTCGGGAAACTCTTTAACGACCACCGCACAACTTCAAAACCTCGGTTTTGTGATCAACTTCGAGAAACCTTCACTTGTTCCTTCACAAACTATCCAGGTTTTTAGATAGACTCTATTCAGTTTATCCTCCAGCTCCCGTCCTCAAAAATAAAAACTGTCAAGAAGGACATTGAGAAACTACTATGCTCCCCTCACATCTATCTTCGGGACTTGGCGACGGGTCTCCTATCAGCTTCCATTCCGGCTATTTTCCCAGGCCCATTGCATTACAGAGTGATATGATGCCTCAAAACCTACTATCTGTGGAAATCTGCATGCTAAAACTAACTTATTTTTCTGACTGAGGAAGTCCGCTTAGAGTTGGATTAGTGGCTCCACAATATGGAAGTATGGAACAGGAAAGCAATATCTGGTTCTCGGCCTATCCTAAAATCAGACGCCAGTCTCATAGGATGGGGCACGACTTGCTCAGGTCTCTCCACATTTTAACAAGACCAATTCTGTATCATTTCTTCCATACATAGTGTAAATTAAGGGTTATTTTAGCGTTAGTGACCAAATAATCTGAATTGTATTAAAGACAGGAGGTGTCTGCTTGGGGCAATGTAAACACTGCTTTTTCTCTGAAATGGCAGTGTTTGAATGAAAATGTCTGAAGGGAGCTATTATACTCACCAAAACAACTACATTAAGCTGTAGTTGTTTTGGTGACTATAGTATCCCTTTAAGGTAAAGTGCTGACACTGTTTTCCTGTGTTTCCTGAGGTAGCAGTGCAGTGGCCGTAATGTGTCTTGTTAAACTGGCTTTGCAGGTTCTGTTTGTAGTTTGCCACATTTGTAAATTGATACCTGCAGGCTGTAGGCCATTTTACTTTCCAAGAAACCTGTTTCCATCAATATATGTTTGCTGTCAAAACCAATGTTTTTATACTGTGTCAAAAAGAGAACATGACGTTATTCTATACCAATTTTGTTACGTCTGCGTTTATTCACTTATTTTAAAAAGTGCTCGTCATCTCCACTTAAAGCAGAAACCTGTTTGCCCTAGATTAATCTAGAACTGTAACATCTGAAGTTCTTACATAACTTGTCATGACACATAGAAAGCTTGAAGGTCTGATTCCACCTCAAGTATTCACAAAATGGGAATCCATGCAAGGGTATTGCTTGCTTACAGAAACACAAGGAGCTTGCACCCAAAGCAGACCTTAATGACCCCCTACCTTAAGGTTCCAACAATATCTCTTGCTCTCCAGGGCTGGAGCTACTATAAGGCCACTATAGGGTGCACTGGATGGGGGCTCAAAGTCCTGGTGACTTGGGATGGGGTGCACAGAGCTTCCTCCAGTCATTCTGTGGGCCGGATAGCCTATTGAGATTTCACGAGATTTCATGGTGAGGGGGCTATTATCTTGTACTTACTGCTGCCTTTTCTCCACAGCCAGGATGCCAGTGGAATAACCCCATATCTAGAAACTGAACCCCTAAAGCCCTCCCCTAGCAATGCCTTTGGAGCCATGGCATTATAGGTTTGGAAATATTGGACCTTCTTAAATATGTTGCAATTTTATATATCCTCTAATGTCCTGCCGTGGTGCTTACTGGATCTCCTCTTCTCTGTAAACCCTACCCTTTTTTACCAAATTTTTCATTCCTTGCAATAGATTTCTGTACCTTCCTTGTTCTCACACTTTCAGTTCCTAAATGTTAAATACTTTTTAGCTGCATTTTTTTTTTTTTTGTTATATCAAAAATATTACTTTGTCTTAACTTTCTGAAAATGTTTGCATGGTAACAACTCCACCATCACTTTTTCTAAGAGTTTTTCTTAGGTGCCCTGCAAAAGAAGAAAAATGTTTTAAATACTTAACATAATTTTCTTTTCATGGCTGTTTTCCATGACCGCATCACTAATGAGTTAGCCCCACTTGTCAAATGTCAGGACAGGAAATAAAATAATAAAAGGGACACTATAGTCACCAAAACAACTTTAGCTTAATAAAGCAGTTTTGGTGTATAGATCATGCCTCCAAAGTTTCAGTGTTCAATTCACTGCCATTTAGGAGTTAAATCACTTTTGTTTCTGTCCATGCAGCCCTAGCCACACCTCCCCTGGCTGTGACTCACACAGCCTGCATGAAAAAAAAATTGTTTTACTTTCAGTTCAGTTGTAACTCACTTTAAAAGTTTTTTATCTCCTGCTCTCTAAATTGAAATTTAGTCACACACAGGAGGCTCTGGCAGGGTCTAGCATGCTATTAACAGTGCAAGTGATAAGAAATGTTAAAGTAAACACAATTTGCCATAAAGGAAGTATGAACATTAGATGACTCTTTACAGGAAGTGTTTAGGAAGGCAGTGTAAGTCACATGCAGGGATGTGTGACTAGGGTGCATAAACAAAGTGTTTTAGCACCTAAATGACAGATAATTGAGCAGTGAAGGGACATGATCTATACACCAAAACTGTTTCATTAAGCTAAAGTTGTTTTGGTGACTATAATGTCCCTTTTTAATAAATTATTAGATAAAAGTTGAAAAAAAAAACCCAGAAAAGCCAATAGGAAGAGTATGTGATGCAGTCTTGGAATATAACCAGGAAAAGAAAATTATGGTAAGTATTTAACATGTTCTCCTTTCCTGGCTAACCATGACAGCATCACTAATGGGTAATAGCCAGTAAAACCAAGAAGGGAGTGACACCACTCATAAAAACAGCAAGACACTATCTTTATGGATTATTAACAACTGTCATCAAAGCACCTCTGCCAAAGGAAGAGGAAGAACTCTTAGCCCAGTCTAATTTACAGTGTCCAATGTAGGTCAAATGATCAGTTAGCTACTCTGCATATCTCTTCTATTGACACCCCACTACAGAAGCCCAATAAGTCACAACAGATCTAATAGAATGAGCTTTAATCTCCACTGCAGTTGTTCTTCCCATAGTGGTGCAGGCCTTAAAATGGAAGTGGAGATCCATCTTCTCAACATTGCTTTAGTGACAGCTTCACCTCTTCTTGCTCCCAAGGGTAGGAGGAAAAGTTTTTCTTTCGATTTTTTTTTAATTTTTTTATTTTCTGAAATCCTTAAAGGCGAAGATCCCAGGGCAGAGAGAGACCTAGCAAAAGGCTTTATCCATAATACTGATCTGAAGAATCTGGCCAGAGGATCCAGTGTCCACCTAGTATCAATAAGGGCAGTAAGTGCAGAGACTTATACCTTAAGAGAATTTTGACTCAGACTCTTCTCTGAGCCGTCCTGCAAAAATTCCAGAACATCTGTGGAAGAAAATCTTCTGTTCTTTTCTGACCTGTTCCTAAAGTTTTCCCAGATACGATGATAACAAGCTGTACTAATAGCTTTGAAAAGAGTTGCTGCTACTCCATGAGAAATCCCTGATTTCACAAGTAACTCCTTTTCAAATGTAATACCAATTGGTTCATGGACCAAGGGAATGGACAGACTGCTGTCCCTTAAAGAAGAAGGCCCACATCTCTGGAAGCATCCAAGGTTCCTCTAGGCTTATACGGCGCATCAGTGGAAACCAAGGCCTCCTTAGCCAGAATGGAATGATGACAATCACTTTGACATTAGCATTCTAAATTTTTCTCAGAGTTCAATGAGTGAGAGTGATTAGAGGAAAGACATAACCCAGTTCACATTCCCACCCCTGTGTAAAGGCATCTTGAGCTTCTATATGGGAATAGAGATTGCAAGAGAAGGACCTTGGAACATCTGCATTCCTAGGTTAGGCCATCAAATCTATATGAGATTATATCTATTCCACAGTATCTCACTATTTGAAGAAACATTTCCATCTTCAGGGTTCACTCTCTTGGGTCCATTACTGATCTGAACACATTCTATTTCCCTGGAAGGTAAACTGCGTTCAGACCCTGGAGGAGTTGTTCAGAGCAAAACATTATTGGTCTCAGCTCCTTAATGAGATTCATAGTCCTGGTATCTCCTTGGTGGTTCATTTAGGATGCTACAGTTATGTTTCAGTCTTGATCAGGACCTAATGTCCCTTTGGGGTTGAAGCAGAACTCCTCAAAGCTCTGAAGACAAACTCCTTGTATCATTAGTTATTTGCAGTGCACCCCAACCTCTTTGGCTGGTGTCAGTAGTGATACAAATCCAATCAGTATCCTCCAAAGGAAAACCTTGGAACAGATTGTGATCTTCTAACCACCACTGCATTTTTACTTGAGTTCCTTTGAATTGACAATTAACTTATTCCAGTCTGTATCTAGGTTGTGGAATAATAGGAGAAAATTCCTTTGAGCACATCTGATCAGCCTGTGATTTTTATATGACTAGGCCTATTGTTACAGAGCCCAAAAGACTCATGTAGTCATGTAGAGCAGTTTGTGCTCAAGAGGGACAGAATTTTGAATTTCAAACTAAATATACTTTCTTCTGGTAATTCCAGAATCGTCATCTCTGTATTGATCAGAGTATCAAGAAACACAATTATGTAAATGGGACTAGGTCGCTCTTCTCTCGATTAAGAATCAAGCTATGTTTTTATAGGAAGAGAATCACTTTTCATGTACTCTAAACTGCTACTATGATACGAATACAGATAATAGAAAAGCATCTTGTTTTCTTAGGACTGCTGTTAGAGAAATGACAACTTAGAGGAAATCTTCTTGTAGCCAGGCTAAACACAAATGGTAGGCCCAAAAATTGTAAATGTTTCCCTAGGAAATATCTTGGATGATGGAATCAATCCATTTGTTGGAGATCCATCTGGCCCATTTATGAAAAAATTGTCTTAGACAGCCACCTACTTTCAGATACTGGACTTCTACACTGTCATAAGGGCTTGGCATTGGTTCCATGTTCCCTTCTTCTGAATGACTTAGAAGTAGAGAGGTAGAGAATTTGGAAACTATACAAGAAGCTTATCTGAAGTAGTCCCTGACAAGTATGTAAGATCTGCTGTCTCAAAAGGAACGATCTTTGAATCCTTTGTCTCACCATGAAGACATCTTATGTTTTGGGGAGAAAAGGTTTTTTCCTCTTCAGCTACTTTCTGAATAGCCTCATCCAGAATCTTGCCAAAAAGTTTATCCCCTAAAATTGGGAGAGCACAAGTTGGTAAAAAAAAAAAAAAGAGAATCCCACAAAGCAGCTTCATTTAGTTAGCCCTGCTCAGGCAGGCTGTATACTGGGTCCTTTAGAGAAAGTTATGCTGAACGACCTCTGGCATTATCAAGGTAAGGTGAGGAGAGGAAAAAGACTGGGGAGGTTGGGAAGGATGGAGCTTTTATCTACTAATTTAATGAATTACTTTATTAGACTCCCTGCCCTAACACCTGAGAGGCAGGGCTAACCAAT